CAAGGAGTTTAGCAAATGCTAAATTTCTAGTCGATAAAAGACTAACATGTGACCAACGTGTTGAAGCATCAATCAACACCATAAAATATCGAAATGGTCCACATGGTGGGGCTATCGGCCCACAAATATCTCCTTGAATCCTCTCTAAAAATGCAGGTGGTTCAGTTGCAATTTTGTTCATTGAAGGCCTGATGATCATTTTGCCAAGAGAACATGCCTTACAAGGAAAATCACTTGATAATGGAACCCTGATATTCTTTAATGGGTGTCCAAGTGAGGTCTTAATGATTTTATGCATCATTACTTGGCCTGGGTGACCTAAACGGTCATGCCACAACATGAATGTTTTCTGATCATCCAACTTTGTGTTGGAAACCAAATTTATTTCAAACGGACTAATATATGTGGAATATAGTCCTGAGGAATATGCTGGCATTTTTTCACAAATATATTTAGTGCCAGATTTAGTTGTTGTAAGACAAATATATTCCTTTTGGTTTTCATTCACGGTTTCTATGTGATAACCATTTTGACGTATATCTTTAAAACTTAATAAATTCCTCCGTGATTTTCTGGAGTATAAAGCGTCATTTATAATTATTTTGGTCCCGTTAGGGAGCATCACATATGCTTTCCCAGAGCCTTCAATGAGCTTTGCAACACCTGATATTGTATTGACTTTAGCTTCAACTAAAGTCATTTGAGAAAATTATATTTTGTTTCTCAGAATGGTGTGCGTTGTGGCGCTGTCTATTAGACATAGCTCTTTATCATTTGAGTGATCCATATCTTCAATATGTGTAAATAAACATAAGCTTGATCACAAATTGTGCATATAATTTAACATAAAGTACATATATTACACACATTTATTTAAAAAACAAAAGAAAAAGGGGAAGAAAGAAAAAGTACATAAAACTAATATGTTACAACATAAGGATCAAAGTCTTTTATTTTGTGACATTTTGGTTTATTGTAAAAGCATCGTCCATAATGGCATCATCCGCGAAAAAGTCGGACACGTCAAATTTTGGCATTGGCGGAGTTGTATCATTCACATAATTAGCTTCCATATTATTGCCTTTGTTCAAATTCATGGAAGATTGAAATAACTCCACCAGATGTTTAGCCGTGCGACATTTATTAGCCCAATGCCCCGTCATGCCACATTTATAACAAGTCGTCTTTACCGAGGTTTTTGTAGGGCGATTTATTTGATGAACCTTTTGTTTGCCCTTGCCCTTATAATTCGGTCTTTCGACCCGTTTATATCCTCTGTAAGACTTGTTATTATGACCACTAAAATGCCCACGTTTAAAATGTCTTCTACTGCCACTGTGTGTTGCATTTGATTCAGTGGCTAAATTATGGCCAGATGGACCATAAATCGAAGGACTAGAACCGGTGGGTCTCAAATTGTGGTTTTTCATCAAAAGGTCATTGTTTTGCTCAGCTACCAATAATACTGATATTAAGTCAGAGTATTTTTTAAAACCCTTTTCTCTATATTGCTGTTGTAGCAGCATATTAGAGATATGCATAGTAGAAAAGGTTTTCTCCAACATATCAGCGTCAGTGACTTTTTGTCCACATAACTTTAATTTGGATGTTATTTGGAACATAGCAGAATTATAGTCACTGATAGATTTAAAGTCCCGGAATCTTAAATTGATCCAGTCATACTGAGCTTTTGGTAAAAGTACCTTTTGTTGGTGGCCATACCTTTCTTGTAAATTGTCCCATAATTCTTTTGGGTCATCAACCAAAAGATATTCAGATTTGAGACTTTCATGGAGATGGTGACGGAGAAAAATTATGGCTTTCGCTTTATCTTGGGAAGATGATTGATTAATAGCCTCAATAGTGTCTTCGAGACCATTAGCCTTCAAATGTGCTAAAGCATCAACTTCCATTCCAGGTATTTTTGCCCGGATAGATCAAGAACATCAAATTCTCTTTTGCTAATATTTGCCATGATACTACAAGAATCATTAATACAAATTTATTACTAAACATTTTACAAAAAAAAAATATTATGAACTTTAGAATATAGTTTAAATATAGGCAATAATGTACGTACTGTTTTTAATTAATTATACGCATTCATTTGATTCAATATTATTAAAATTAAATGGGCATCGGTGTAGTGTTTAGATAAACTATGCTTCGTAGTATCAAGGATTTCTGAACTTCATTAAGTGCAACACTTATTAGAATTCAAAATAAGTTACCCAACGGTAGAGTTTGGTTTTATACTACCCGTGACACAGATAAACTCATGCAGGCTGAGTACATCCTAACCAGTACCCACTGCGTTAAGCTTTTATCTGTTTTTGTTTTGGCAGATAATAGAAACAAAAGTAACCGATCGCGAATAGCAATAGCAATTCTTAAATTTTGCATGTGGCCTGATTGCATGTTAATTGTCTGACCATATGTCACATGTAACAATCTGTAATAGTCTGAGTAGTACTATCGTATTTGAATAGTCTAGAACCCTAAAAGCAACACTCAAATTTTGTTATTATAATATTAATTTATACTATCGAAACATATCCGTGAGTTGCATTCATTTTAGTTCTGAACAACGGCAATATTAACTTCATCTTTATATTCAGACTGTTTCTCCTTTATCTCTTTACTTCGTTTACCCCTTTCACTTGTATACTACTGTATTATTACGATACACAATCTTCTAATTTGTTTTAACAAGTATGAAGTATGTTTTCTCAAGTCATATAATTCTTCGGATACATCACTTGAACTATATATCAAGATAGAAGAAGAAGAGAAATATCCTGAAATCTTGAAGCTAAGGTATGTATATTATTCATATTTTCTTTCATTCTTTTGGTCTAATTATGATGTGTACATTTTATTTAACAAGAATAGAACTGAGCTTTCTTTCAAAGTTTGAATACTAAATTGTTTATCATGCATGCATGATTACTTAAAAGTAAAGGAGATAATATAATATTATTGTTAATACCTGCAGGAGTGATGATTTCTTGAAGGTTTTGAGCAGATTCGTGCTGATAACGTGTTGTGAAATGAAGAGGATGAAGATCAATTTTAAGAGATAGATATATAGATAAAAAGCTCTAAATTACTTCTTCTTAATATCTGAATAATTTCTGAATTTCTGAGTTTCTAAGTTAATTTACAAAGAATTGAATTAGCCCTATTTATACTAGCCAGATTTAGGGGATGAATCATCTAGGAATGATTCTACACAATTTGCTGGCAGTATTAGATCTACCCATCTGTCTAACTATGATTACAAGGATATAAATTAGATGAGTAAGCTTATTACAAGGATCAGAAGTAGCTTGGTGTCCTAATGACAAGGATGGACATTCACACTTGTCAATTTGGTGATTTTACAACAGATATTGATTTTTTATATACAAGACTTCAAATATCTTATACTCGTATAGTCGTATGTCAAGTTTTTACCAATACTACTCCATATCGTTATTGTTTTAAATGAATCCAAAAGGATAAATCGGTCATCGTAATGTTACATTTAGCAATAGCAATCTCCGCCTATTTATTATCCTCAAAGGTATTACGGAGTACTAATTACAAAAATACCCGTTGTACACGTAACGGGTTACCTACATCCGGATGCAGTGGCAGACCCAGAAACATAAAGTCACGGGGTCCCTATTGAACATTAGGATAAAAATCTGCAATATTTTTTTCTCAATGTAGGATCATCTCCTAAATATTTTGCTCGTATAAATTATTAGTCAAACTAATTTCACAATTAGCAATCATTTGATCCAATTCTTCACTTAATAAAATAATTAAAGAAACATCCATGCTTAAAGGGCGAGAAAAACTTTAAAGGGGTTAATAAAATTTAAACTTTAACCTTGTGGATATTTAAAGGATGAGGAAATATTTTACAAAAACATAATATAAAATTTATGTTAAATTAGTATTCATTTGTTCTAAATTATAAGAGATATCAAATTTAATATAAAATGAAGTATAATTAATACTTTTAATACTTTTCTCTAAATTCAATACAGAACAAATTATTAACGGAAAGTTAACATCATTAGCTTCCGGTTCATTTTTGTGAAACAGTATATGAGTTCGAATTATTATCGTGAACTTTTCTAGTGGAAATTATTTTTATGAAACGTGTAAAAAATATGAATTATTGGGGAAGATTTCGCCAAAAAAATAAAACTTTTGTATTTTTTTTAATATAGTATTGCTAAATTTACTTTATAATATTAAATGTAGTATAAGTAATATTTTAATACTTTTCTTTTAATTCAAGATGGAAAAATTTATTTGAGGAAAGTTCATGAATTTTTGTGAAACGGTTAATGAGTTCAAATAATTATCATGAAATTTTCGAGTAGAAACTATTTTTGTGAAAAGTTTAAAAATATGAATTATTGGGGAAGAGTTAGCCATAAAAAACAAAAGTTGCCAATGGGATTCAAACCTCTAACATCAAAAGGGGTAGACTTTCACCTTGCACGGATATGCGCTACTCTATTTCATTTTTTGTACCTTTTAAGTTTGCTTTGTATATATACATTAATTGGTCAAGTTTTGTATATTATATATATAATATATATAGTTTTTTTTAAATCCGTGGGGTCCCGGGACCCCTTGGGACTCAAGGTGGGTCCGCCACTGTCCGGATGTACTTTATAATTTGCCCCTACCCCTAAGAGTCCGTTTGATAACACTAAAATTGGCTGAATTGACTGATTCTGCTGAAATTTATGAAGTTCTGGCTGAAGTGATTGTATTGGCTGGTTCTGGTGATTCATGAAAAAATTATATTTAAAATATTTGTTGTTAATAAACTAAATAAAAAATTATATGAAAAAATAGCTAAAATGATTCTCTACGGTAACCTCAGCCAATACAGCCAGAAAAGTAACTTCAACCTTACTTTTTCTACTTATTACAAACTTCAACGCGCGAAATCAAAAATTCCGTGTTTGATGAAAAATCCGACTGATAAGTCTGATAAGTCGAAAAAAGGGTTACAAAACCCTTTTTTTCGATAAGCCGACTGATAAGTCTGAATTCATTAGAAGAAACCCTAATGTGGCCGTTGTAACTATCATCCGCAACTCCACAAAGTGTTTCCAGAATCAAAACCCTATTACGTAGTAATATATAAAGGTAAGATCCTTAGGAAATCGGATTTCTTGTATTATATCTGTTTTGTTTATGAGATGGAGACTGAGTTCGTTTGCCTTTTTGTTTGGTCAGATTTAATTCTCTGCTGGAGATTCAATTTTGGATTTGACTTTCGGAGCTATGGGCAACTCAATTATGGTACATTTCTCGCCCTATGGATTTGGTTTAACTGTGCATGCGTCAAATCCGTGGATTTTGTTAAAGTTATTCGTAGGTGATGAAATAATCCTATAATTGGTTGCCCCATAGCTCCAAAATCAAACCCAAACACAAGTATATATCTGGATCGTTGGTTGCTATACTGGAGCTCACTGTTCCTCTTTGTTATTGTTTGGTGGCATTCTGGTGTGAATATGGGGTCTCGCAAGGATTAAAATCCTCATGCCAAAAGTACTACTTTGGGTCATTCATTGGATTGTATCCCAGAAATCAGCGAGGCCCTTTATCAAGCCTTCATACCCAGGCCCCGTTTTATTTACACCCTGAGAGAGTGAAAGGTCAAAGGTGATGTCTATGTTTGGTACACTGTAGCTTATTAGCTTCTTATTTGTTGTGTAATGAATGTAGGCAAACATACATATCAAAGTCTATCTCTAGAAGCTGGACTGACACTCACTAGCCAACCTTGAGGTTGAATATCAAAGTGGTTTTATCAATTGCCTGCTATGAGTTCCATTGTCCTTCTGAGTTCTGATTGAACCCTACCGTAGCTGAAAACTTAAAAATAACCAATACATTTTGTTGAAACCCTAGTTATATTGGGCTTAGCCCATCTTGTATAGTAACCCTAGTGCTCTAGTTTTTGCTATAAATATAGCTACTTGTATAGTTCTTTATATCAAGATTCATTATAATGAAATACAGTTCATATAATTCACATGGTATCAGAGCCACTGTTTTTCATTATATGGCGGCACAGACACTGTTTTTCCGGCGAGTATTTCCGGCGTGAACAGTAGCCGCGTTAGGTGTTGGAGCACTTCCAGTAGTGATATATCAAATCTACGCCTACCGCCTTGCTCAGCGCACCATCGCGACCAACCCGCCGGAAACCGTACCAGCTCGGACTCATTCACGCGCCTACACGCGCCGCCTCTCTACCCACGGTTTACTGACCGATTTTGCAGATCTACTCCATTTTTCTCATCTGCGAGCGACACCGCCAGGGTTTTCATACACCTAGGTCTCCGACGACCTAGACCAGTCAGTCCGGTACGCCTAGGCTTCTCCACGCGCCGCTGCATCCACACGCGCCACCGCCGATCGAACTGACCGCCAGAAACGCACCGCCGGTCCAGTCTCCACCACCGTCACTGCCTTCTGAGCAGACTTCTTCTGCTGCTTGTTCCACTGGTCACGGTAGTGGTTCTTCCATTTCTTTGTTTTATTTTTGAGCTTACTGTTCCGCTGCTGTTCATACGTTTGTGAGCAGATTAGTCACCTTACTGATTTGCCTGATCTTTTATTAAAAAAAAAACAAAAAAAAAGAGAAAAAAATGTCAAGTTTCTCTTCGTTTGCTTCAGTTCCAATCATCACCACCGATCGACTAGCTGGAAGTAATAATTATCAGTCATGGGCTATTTCCGTGGAGATGTGGTTCAAGGGTCAAGGTCAAATTGATCACTTGAATGTCGATGCAGCTACAATCAAAGACAAGTGGAATGAATGGGAGAATATGGATGCCTTATTGTGTAACATGTTATGGCAATATATGGACTCAAAACTTCATCCTACTTATCAACCATACCGCACATGCAAACAGATTTGGGAAAAAGCGAAAGCCAACTACACAAATGACATCCAAAATCTGTTTTCCTTTGGTTCCAAAATTGCTACGCTCAAACAACAGAATTTTGACATTCAAGAGTTTCTAGGATGAGCTGAAGCATTACTGTTTGAATATAATAATATTCAACCTATCACTGAAGATAAGGAGAAACAACTTGAGCAAAGACAACAACTTGTTATGGTTTTAACCTTAGCAGGTCTTCGCCCAGAGTTGTTATCAATCCGTGAGCAAATTCTCTCCAGTTCTTCTGTTCCTACAATGTCTGAAGCCTTTGCCAGAATTCTTTGAGCCGCCCCAATATCTGTTGACGCATCTTCAAGTGATTCTATCATTCTTGCATCTCAAGGTTCAGGGCATGAGGGGGGAAATAAAAAAGGATATCCACGCCGTAATCGTCCCAAGTGTGATTTTTGTTATAGGATGGGTCGTACGAAAGATAGGTGTTGGAAGTTACATGGTAAACCTTCCAGCTCTGCCAATGTTGCCCAAATCCCGCAAGTTCCAGAAATTTATCAGAAATTTAAGCAGTCCACTTTGACGTCGTCAACATCAGGTACTTCTACAGCATGTGTGTCAAACACAACTAGCTCGTGGATCATTGACTCAGGTGCTTCCGACCATATTTCTGGTAATCCCCATCTTTTATCCCATATTACAAAACACCAAAACCTTCCATTAATCACCCTAGCCAATGGTCTTCACACTTTGGCTACGGGTATTGAGCAAGCACTCCCACTTTCATCCTTACCATTAGATTCAGTTCTATATGTTCCTCATAGCCCTTTTAACCTTGTCTCTGTTAGCAAAATTACACGCTCTCTTAATTGTTCTATAACCTTTTATGCTGACTCTGTGATTGTGCAGGACCGTTGTACGGGGAAGATGATTGGCGTCGAGCGTGAATCTCAGGGCTTGTATCACCTCCAACCTCTTGATCCAGTTGTTTGTGTGTCCACTGAACCAGCACTTTCCTTACATAATCGTTTGGGTCATCCCAGTCTTTCCAAATTTCGACGTATGGTCCCAGGTTTCTCCAGTATTTCCTCTTTAGATTGTGAGTCATGTCATCTTGGAAAGCAACCTCATCAGTCCTTTCCAAGACGTGTCAATAACAGGCTGCATCCCCTTTTGATTTAGTTCATACAGATGTATGGGTCCGTATCAAGTCAATTCTACCCTAGATTTTCGTTATTTTGTCATTTTTGTGGATGACTTTTCCCGTCACACGTGGTTGTTTTTAATGAAAGAACGTCTTGATTTGTTTCATATCTTTCAAAAGTTTTGGGCTGAAATTCACACCCAATTTGGGCGTTCTATCAAAATTGTATGTAGTGATAATGTTAAGGATTTTTTTACCAGTCCCTTTAATCAATTCATGACATCACGAGGTATGCTTCATCATTCTTCTTGTGTTTATACACCTCAACAAAATGGGGTTGCTGAACGCAAGAATCGACATTTAATTGAAACTGCCCGTACTATGTTGTTACATTCACATTCACCACCACAGTATTGGGCAGATGCTGTTCTCAATTCTCACTGCATGTCACCTCATTAACAGAATGCCTTCATCGATTCTTGGTAATGCCATTCCCCATTCTGTTTTGTTTCCTACTCAGGCACTGTTTCCATTACCACCTCATGTGTTTGGGTGTGTTTGCTTTGTCCATGATACCACACCAGGAATATCCAAAATGTTTGCTAGGTCAAACATTTTGTGTCCGCTGACGTCACTTTCCTTGAGTCCTCATTTTATTACCCACGACTACTCGTTATGTCAAAACAACAGATCAACTTGCTGATGTTTTAACCAGGTCTCTTAGAGGACCTAGGATGCAATATATTTGTAACAAACTTGGTGCATATAATTTATATGCTCCAGTTTGAGGGGGAGTGTTGAAACCCTAGTTATATTGGGCTTAGCCCGTCTTGTATAGTAACCCTAGTGCTCTAGTTTTTGCTATAAATATAGCTACTTGTATAGTTCTTTATATCAAGATTCATTATAATGAAATGCAATTCATATAATTCACACATTTTAACTGTTATGGTTGAACTAAGAAGTCTTTTGTCGCTTACGAGAACATATTTTTAATCATAAGGTGGATAAACATTGTTAACCCTCCGCAATGTTGGGTTTTTGATAATATGAAATCTGATAAGAATAATATGAACTTTTAGTTTAACGTTCTGTAGATATCTAATTCCAAACTGATATCAGTTTAGGTTATTAATTCTTAAATTACACATTTCTCATTGGAACGCCAAGTGTAGAGGTATATTTACTAATATTTCTTCATATTATTTTGGGAAATGAGTTTCCCATTTTTTTTTTAACTTTAGTAATGGTAAGGAAATGAAAATTTATAGATTCCAGATTTCTGAGTTTCCCAAACAGAAAAATGCAAGTCATGCAGAGTTTCTGTGCTCCTAGTATGTGGCATTACAAAACTGCAATATATGTATAAAACCCAAGTAAGATTTGGTACTTATTGGGTAACACATCATATTGAATATCTACATTTGTTTTCTAAAAATTTAATTATTGCAATGGTACATGATAATACAGTTAGCTCAACTCAGTCGTGTCATGATCTTTTCTGTGCAAGTGAGAAAAACTTATGGTGATTAATATTTTTGGTATTTTCTTTACATTATGTTTGTGTGATAAAGTTGCGACATCATGGGCATCATGTGTTAAACCCTGTCTGTGTTTTTTATTGAATTTATAGTGTTAGCTTTTGTTTGGCGATTAATTGATAGTGCAAGCTTCAAGCCACAGATCTGTCATAGTTTATGTACATTCATGGGATGTTCTGAAATCTGTGTAAACTCTTCATATTGTTTAAGAAATTCAAAAATTATCGTGCCGCCGTGGTTAGATCTGCATGAAGTTGAATCACTTTAGCAAAGCTCTGTGAATAATGGCAGTCACACGTAGAGAGAATTGCTATACTTTAGTTACATTTTAGACAAATGTATGTGTGTGTTAGCAAATAATCACGCTTTCATGAAATGTTTTGAGAATGCATAATGTTATGACTTATGAAAGGGCAGCCTGATTGAAATTTACTCCCTCCGTCCCTTTGAAAGGTTCCCACTTTCCTTATTTGAGTGTCCCATTTAAAGGTTCCCGTTCCATTTTAGGAAATAATTTACCCTCTTTAATTAAACTTTTCTTATTTGGGTGTCCCATTTAAAGGTTCCCATTCCATTTTAGGAAATAATTTGCAATGGAGCCAAAGACTCACTATTTTTTGGCTTGGGAATATGATGGAATAAAGCAAAATGGCTCACTAAACTGTTGTGCTTCTTTATTATGAAGCAGCGATCAGTCCATGCAATTTTCAACGCGATTTTCATTATGAGTCATCCGGAAGTAGTGTCTCTGTGCTTTAGTACAAGGGTAGTAATGTTGATGAATTACACCTTTACTCAAATTTCTCTTTCCTACTCATTACATGTCAAGTCTAACAATGTCCCGTCCCCCAACTTATCTCCCTTTAATTACTTTCACTTTATATGTTTACTTTTTCTAAATTTTCTCTTTTCTCTTTTTTAGCCAAATTACTTAATTTAATCACTTGCCTAAATAAAGTGCCATTTACCCACGGAATCCTTCTAATGGGACGCAGGGAGTATATGTTAAGGCCTTTTTATGAGTTTGGATGCTTTGTGTTTCTTTGATGTGATTGGAAATTCACAAGTTTTCAATAAACTAGATGTATAATGATAAATGCTGCTATGGCCTCAAATAATCTCTCTTGTGTCAATTTACTTTTTGGAACTATCATTATCTTGTTGGAGTTATATTTAACTTTTAAACATGACTGATTTCTTTGCATGATTTTCATTTACTTCCTGTCATAAGTTGCGGCATAGTGATCAGTCTCACCTCTTTACGCAGGTAATTTGTTTTCTAGTTGCAATTTGACTGGTCATCTTTTTGCTAGAAGGAGCAATTGATGCTCAGAATGGATAGCAATAGCCCACTGGAGCATACACTGCGCTACATTCTCAGCCAGATCAATCCTTCAAAAGATGATTGGTCCTTTAGGTTTCAATTAATTGAAGAACTCCGAGCTGTTGTGCAACCTGTAGAAAGTTTGAGAGGTGGTTAAAGCATGTTTACTTTTTTATTCATTTATGTCATTCATATGAAAATTCCGATTCATATGTTTTGGCTTGTTTTGCAGATACGTATAATTTTTTTACTATTGAAATGTCAAATGTTAGATAAATATTTGGAGTGGGCATACTTCATCTACAATATCAGTTGTATAATTGCTACATTTCATTGTAAATTGGCAAAAGGCAACCCATGAACTCAAGGATATCAAGAGATTCAAGTCATAAGATCCATTTTGTGAATCATAAGTCTTATTGTGTTGTGAACCGTAAGATACTTCGATAGATAACTAATACTACCTCCGTCCCATTATAAGATCCCACTTTGAATTGCACTCATATTTAAGAAATGATTTTTTCCTTTGAGTTCCTGAAATGACCCTTTTACCGAGGGGTAAATTTTAGTGTAGAGTACACTGTTTTGACATTGTTTAACACTGTTTTGCATTGTGCTGTCATTATTATTTAAGAATAGTAGAGTAAATTGATATAAATTTGTTTACCAAATCGGGAAAGGGGACTTTATTTAGGGAACATCCATAAAAGGAAAGCGGGGAGTTTATTTATGGATGGAAGGAGTGTCTAGTACAGGGTATATTTTAGTAAAAATACGTGGCATAAGAAAAAAAGAACTTCATATTTCATACGGAGTATATGATTTTGCCAATCCAACCCATGCATCAAAGTTTAAAACAACAAAAGTATTATACATGTTTGAATCTGGTAATTCCCTAGATAATATAATCTAAGATGCCCAACACCCAACTTAAACCTCTTCTTGTTATACATTTTCAGTTATCCCTGCATTTAAGTTTAGTTTAATTCAAGAGCTCAAAACTTTGTATTTTGAACTTCATCTTCTGCCATTTTAGACAACCAGAAGTTTCCCTCCCATTTGTTGAGATTAATGCGGAGCAAAGCAACCCTTGAAGTATTTTGTAAGAAATGGCTGCTCAAGACAAACCCGGATTTAAATTTAACCTACGCCCAGAATCCCTAGATTGAATTGTGCGCTTCAATCGCGGGATTTCAATTCTTGAGTTATTTTGCAGTACTCTGCAATACAATCATACGACTTTGATTCATTCAGACCCATTTGAGATTCATTTAATGATTTGCATTGCTAGGGTTGATTTCTATTGCATACTGCGATCCATGTCGTCTAGATAACCCAATACTAACTAGGATGAGTGAACATTCTTAGCATTCGAAACTCCCACAACATGTATGGCTAACATTATATATGTGATATTTCTCTTTGTATGGGTTGTCAATTCTAACAGATTAAAGTGTTTTACTTTCGACAAGCTTATTAGAAATAAGAATGAGGCCTACTACAAGCTTATTACTAGGGAATGCATCCAACTTTAAATGCTTACCTAGAGCATACAATCATTTACTGCATATTCTTTTGTTATTATTGATATTCATTTCAGTAGCTAAGTTATTTTGTCTGATACATTGTGGTTAATTGTCCATGTGATTCTAATATTGCAGGAAACTATTTTTCATTTGGCATCACATTCTATAGTTCTTAATTTACTTTTGCTTCTTTGCAATTAACTGCTTTGGCGTATATTCTATAAAAGCAGGTGCGACAGTGGAACCATTTGGGTCATTTGTATCTGATCTCTTTACAAGGTGGGGGGATCTCGATTTATCTATAGAGTTGGCTAATGGTTCCTATATCTCATCTGCCGGGAAGAAGCAAAAGCAAAGTTTACTGGAAGATGTTTTAAAAGCAATGAGGAGTAGAGGTATAACTTTCATTATTTCCTCTTTTACGACATCAACATATCAACTATATGCGGTGTTATCACTTATCAGTTGATATTAGGCTTAAATATGTTTTTTATGCGGTGTTAATATGTTATCAATTGATATTAGGCTAGCATATTTTTTTCATCATCATCATTACCCCAGTGCCTCAAAGGCTCCCACCTACGGTGGGGTGGGGGGGTCGGATGTACGCAGTCTTACCCCTGTACTAAAACCCAAAAACACAAAGAGACTGTTTCCGGATGACCCATAGTGAAAAACGCGTTGAAATTTGCATGGACTAACTGTTGCTTCATAACAAAGAAGCGCAAACAGTTTAGTGAGCCATTTTGCTTTATTACATCATATTCTCAAGCCAAAAAAGTGAGTTCTTGGCTCCATTGCAAATGATGGAAAAATGCTAACATATTTTTTACCTCCATGTAAATATAGTGTTTTTGTTTAAGGTTCTTATAAAATATTATTTTCATTTTTCATCCCATATGTCAGTTTTTAGTCCCTCCGCTCAATCTCCATTTTGAAAGAAATAATTTGGCTTATTTTCTCATCAGCTTATTATATCTCAAAAGTAAAATACGGATTATTAAACTATCTTAAAAATGAAAGGACGTGAGAAAACAGAACTGAAATCCTGTTAGCCACATCTTTTTTTGGTTTTATAGTAGGTTGTCAGAGAGTCAAAGAAGGACTTAAGAAAAATAACATAAATTGAAGAGATGAAAAGCAGAAAATAGTTGTTAGGGGCTTGAACAAAAGGCACTATATTTGCTGGGGCTAAAAATATATTTATAACTTTATATTTTTTTGAGGCCCAACACTTTAAAAATATATTTATAACTTTATATTAGACCAAAAATATTTTTTTTGGTCTAATCCTTTGCATGGATTTGCTTTACAGGAGGGTATCGGAAATTGAGGTTAATTACTGGTGCAAGAGTCCCTATTTTGAAATTTGAGGCAAGGTATAACATCTCCTGCGACATATCAATAAACAATTTGTGTGGCCAAATGAAGTCCAAACTGCTCTACTGGATCAGTACAATTGATGAACGATTCCGTCCCATGGTTTTACTGGTATGTGCTTGTGAAACATGTAGAAATGGTTTTTCTGGATAGATGTGAGTCATGTGATAAAATTCTAACAACTTGATGTCGTTTCTGCAGGTCAAGGAATGGGCGAAAGCCCAGAAAATTAATGATTCAAGAAATGGAACGATGAATTCATATTCGCTCAGCATGCTAGTTATCTTTCACTTTCAGGTCTGTTCTTCATGAAGACATGAAGTCATGCCCGTAAAATAGTTTTGGTTCCCTTTCCTAAGCTACATGCACTTGTTATCCACTCTTGTGATAAAATACACATCATAAAAACAAACCAAATTTAGGACCTGTAGTGCCGGAAAATTATATGCACATCCATTACTTTTGCAGTATAGTAGCTAGATAATAGAGAAAGCGAGAGATTCTAAGTGGAATAAGAAGGAAGCAAGAACATGAGCTTTCCTGGAAGTATCTTTATTAGTTTGAATGTATGTGATAATATTAATTCATTGGAGAGGGTATATATATATATATATATATATAGGCAACCTGATTAAAAATGATGAGACAGATAGTAAAAAGGTGGACTTAAATGTCCTTTGTTAATGGCTTTAATTTTTCTCAGCTTAGTAGTGCTGGTTTTCCTTCATTCTATGCAGACTTGTGAACCTGCTATTTTACCTCCGCTGAAAGAAATATATCCAGGAAATATGGTGGATGATCTTTCAGGTACTCATCATTCCTTTTCATATTTTGGCCTCTTTAAGTTTCTGCTGCACCTTCAGAATGTTGATCCATAATTTAGGTCATAGGTAATTCAAAATTGTTGTATCTGGATATAACTTATATGTTTGGTAAGCATTTCATCAAAATCACTATGTCCATCCCTTTTGCTACGATCATACTTTTGTAGGTGTGAGGGTTACTGCAGAGAAGCATATTGAAGACACATGTGGCAACAACATAAACCAATTTAAATCTAATCGGTTCCAACCCCGTAATCTCAGTTCTCTATCTGATCTCTTTATTTCATTCCTCGCGAAGGTAAGAATTTGTTAACCCACAAATCCATAATTGACCCCAAACTGTCATCCTGCATTGATTTCTTAGAATCTGTCTATAGTTTTGTGACATTGGGTGCAAAGCTTCTGATCAAGGGATTAGCACATATACTGGACAATGGGAAGAAATTCAAGGGAACATGAGATGGTTACCAAAAACATATGCACTATTCGTAATCTCTCTCTCTCTCTCTGTGTGTGTGTGTGTGTGTGTGTGTGTGTCCACACACGTTCAGTCTGACTCTGGAAAGCTCTTTAAAAGGTCTCCATCCTCCCCAAAAGGCTCTTGTTTGGCCAAGTTCCAACACTTTAATTTTGACGAGGTGCAATATTTATAAATCATAAAATCATATGCATATTATTTAAACATTATGGCTAGTTTAACTAGATTTATTAAAATTCATTTCATTGTCATTTTGGTGACATATAATTGGAAACTTACATGGGAATCAGTTTCATTTGATGAACTATTGTAGGGGGGCAGGACATAGGGAGTATGTAACCTGCGAAAGAAGAGAATAAATGATCCCAAATAGGAGTAGAACATACGGAGTAGCCTAAATAAAGAATAGTACTACCTGTTTTAAATTTCCAAATGTACCTATTCCTTTTCTACCCTTACCCATTCTTTTTTCTCTCCTTGTCAATCTAGTCTTACTCCCCTTTTCCAGTTCGTCCCTCTCTTCTTCTCCCATCTCTTCCTCTCTCTTACCCATGCAATTTTATGGGCCCCTCTATACTTGTTTGTGGGCCCTGGGAAAACCCCCCATCCCACCCATGCCCAAGACCTACCCTGGATGGTAGTGCAATTCTAAGATGACAATTGGCAGTATTTTGGTCCATCCAGATTCCAGACACACTTTCCTCCTATTTTGGGAATTGAAACATTGCACTCCTATTTTGGTAAAACACCTATGATTTACTCTTATTTAGGTTAATAATAATCTCCAAAAATAGTCCCTTAAAAATAATAAAAGCAGTTCACTATTAGATACTATTAAAAGTTGAATTAACGGTTTGTAGCCACTGCTACCAAAGTTTCAATCAAACAAGACTTTTTTTTGGAACCGAGGCAGTGAATAGCTTAGCTAAATGCTAACAATTCTCTTCATGATCAACACACACTTACTGCCTCTTGTTCTTCCCAGATTGAAGACCCCTTTGAACAACCTGCTAACACAGCAAGGAGTGTCAGCAGCACCCAACTGGAAAACATAACTGAAGCTTTCCAAGCAACCTTTAATATGTTAACATCTCCCGACCAAAATCCGCATGTGGTAATGTCTAGTCTTACTAGGCCACAATTGCCAAATTATGTGGAGAGAACACCACCTGCTAGGATCCACATCAATCATCACACCAGAAATTTTATTGGAGAACAAACTGGTCGTCGTCCGAAATTGCCCATGCCTATCCTCACTAGGCCTCGTATCCCAAATGTTGCAACGGGAAATCCTACTAGAATTAGTACTAGAGAACAGCACTGTTGCCCGAATCTGGTAATGTCTACTTTGACTAGGCCACAAAAAACAAATTTTATTGCAAGGCCTCCTGTTACAGAACAGGGAAACAATAGTGGGAAAGGAAATAGCATTGTGGGGATGCATCACAATGGGAAAACCGTGCATCTATCATTACCTCATCAATTTCAAAAAATGATGATCAATGAGGGGAAGCAGCCAGATACAGTAGTTGATGGACCTAATCGGGATTCTTCTTTACAATCACAGCGTGCAAGTAATAGACATGCCCAGAAGTCTCCTGCTAAGATACAGCCAATCTGGAGGCCTAAAAATGGCAAAAAGAGTGGTGAATAATTCCCATGGCCTTGGAGGTTGTCTGCCCAGGAATCTCCTGCTTTGCTTTGCAAAAAATCATGTTTCATGCTATCCATGTTTTGTTTTTTATGTTAACAAATAGTAGTAGTGATGTTTCAAGATTTTCTGTTTTGCACTGTCAATCTTGTAATAAGCATGTCAATCAGCACCATTCTCAAATCTCAATATGTTGTCTCATTATATAAGCATGTCAATCAGCACCATTCCTGCTAAGATACAGCCAATCTGGAGGCCTAAAAATGGCAAAAAGAGTGGTGAATAATTCCCATGGCCTTGGAGGTTGTCTGCCCAGGAATCTCCTGCTTTGCTTTGCAAAAAATCATGTTTCATGCTATCCATGTTTTGTTTTTTATGTTAACAAATAGTAGTAGTGATGTTTCAAGATTTTCTGTTTTGCACTGTCAATCTTGTAATAAGCATGTCAATCAGCACCATTCTCAAATCTCAATATGTTGTCTCATTATATGTTCCATGCAATTAGAAACAACATTTGGTGTGGCCGTTGGTGGTTTTCGAATTTCATCTCAATATTCCTCTGCAAGGGGCCAAACATTGAACCTATTCTTTTTTAAATTGATTTTTGAGTTTTAATTCAATGGGTTCAAGCCTTCTAGAGATCTAGGGTCTGATTTTGTCAAGGGATCTGCTTCTCTTCCTCATTTTTACTCCGCAAATGATACACATTATCCTATCTTATTATAACTCAACCTTATATATAGTGGCATTATTGTCCAGTCAGTCTAACTGGAACCGTTGTCTGGAGACCATTTGTGGCCCTTTATGGTGAAAATTTTTGATGATTTTTTTTGAGCAATTTCTTCATCAAGTTTACTTTATACATATCAAATTTCTGCAAAAAAATTCAATCGGTACGACAGTTAAATAAATCTTTGAAACATACTACACATTATGTAAATATATAAAGAGCAATATGTCTCAAGAATTTATTTAATTGTTTTTTGATTGCATTTTGAGCTGAAATTTGGTGTTCTAAATTATAATTACATACAGATCAGACTAAACTAAAACAAATCAGACCAGACTAGTTAATTACAGTTCAAATAAAAACATCCTAAATGCATAAGATTTATCCGTACTGTTGGGATATTGATCCAGAGGCCCAATACCCGGATCAAGAAGACTCAAGATACCCGGCCCAAGCAACGGGCCCATCACTCTATGATGAGTAGATCCAGTGAAGAATTCATGCCGAACGAGATTCGGCCCAAATAAGGGTTGACCCAGTAAGAAGACATACCGGATGGAGTTCGGGCTATATATCATACTTGGGCCAATTTGACAGCGTCTTCACCATAGTCCAACATTCCGTTCGAGCAACGGACAATCGGCAAGTGGCCAGGTGCAATTAATGCCAGATTGTGACATCAGCAAGTAGAAACATAGGTGACCAAGTCGGTGGAACAACAGCCAATCAGCATAGGGCAGCCTATGCTCTCCATTAGTATAAATTGAAGGTTTAAAATCATTGTAAGGGTTAGCATTTCAATACTCATGCTCTAGAATAGCATTATTGCTCTTATTTCTTGTATTAAAGTATTGTTTCTGACCTACCGATCGGGAATTTCCTTGTAATCAGACTGGTTAATTAATACAAGTGAGCTTTTGAGTATCAGTGAGTTCATATTTTATATTTTGGTTATACACTTTGATTCTGTACCATTCCTGATATATCCAAAGTTCGTGTTGGGCTTTCGGATCTACGAGATTTACCTTCAACATTGGCGCCGTCTGTGGGAAACTGTTCAAAAAGTTTCACATTCAAATCATCCAAAAAACCACTATTTTCAAAAATGGTCAGAATCAGTTCCTATCATACAAACGACGGTTCACGCCGTCACGGAAGGAGTCACACCCCGGGGAATCAAACCCCTCAGGGACAATCCAGCCGAGGATCGTATCCTCGTTTTGATGGGGATTTTGTGATTCCTGAATCTCTGAGAAGAAATCCTCAGGCCATGCGAGATATGGCCCAGGTCATGCAGCATATGGCAAACGAGGAGGAAGGAGGGTCCAACTTTATAGGAGAGACTCCACGCACGGAAACAACCACAACGTCATCCCGTTCGCATGCCCACCGGGATAATCGCCGTAGCGCCCCACCAACAGCGCATCATAGTCCCAGTGACCGAACCCCGATCGGGTCACAAGCTAGGGGACCAACTGCCATTGGTCATCATTTCCAGTATGCCGAGCGGGATAATACCAGGGCCGTTCAACGGCATTGGGACCGGGACTATACAGACATGAGGGCCCCACCACCGCCCCCTTTTACGGCCCAGGAAGAAGAAATGGCTGAGATGAGGAGGCAGATGAACGAGATGCGGGATCAGATGAACAGGGCGCCTGTACAACCTGCCCCAGTTCAGCTGAGAATTACTTCCCCTTTCACCAGGGAACTCATGTACGCAGACATCCAAGGGGTGCCAAACCACCGACCGGTCAAATCTATGACGGGGTGGGAGATCCCCATGTGCATTTGAGGAGTTACCAAGGGGGACTCATGCTACTAGGAGCACCCGAATCTGCTATTTGCCGGTTGTTTTTTAGTACGCTCAGAGGGCCCGCCCAGGAGTGGTTCGGGACACTCCAACCTGGGTCAATCAACAGTTTCGCCGAATTATCGACGTTATTCTTGACCCAATTTGCTTCCAGTGCCAATCCGAAACGGCACTTCAGCTACCTGACCAGCGTGAAGCAGAACGCCAAAGAGACCCTCAATCAGTTCTTAAAAAGATGGAGGGATGAAACTCTGACAGTGGGAAACATGACGGATGATACTGCCATTACCCTATTCACGAATGCTCTCCGAACGGGGGAGTTATACAAGGATTTGAAGAAAAATCCGGGTACAGCATATGCCGAGGTATTAGACAGAGCTCGCAAGCATGCTGCCCTAGTAGAGGAGATAATGATCAGGGATAAGGTCGTTGCGCATGTTGCCCCGATCAGAATGGCCGATCGGCTGGGTCCTAGCCCAGTGGCCGATATACCTCCCAAGCAAGGGAGATTTACCCCCCTGGTCCTGTCAGTAGCGACCATTTATCAGCACGAGAGGGACAATGTTCCCCTCCCGACTGATTCTTCACAATTTATGGGAGCAGACGACTCTGCTTTCTGTAAATATCACAACAGGAAGGGTCATGCCACCAACGCCTGCAGGGCCCTACAAACCGCCATCGAGGATTTGATCCGACGGGGTCATCTGGGCAAATATGTGAATAAGGATCCAAATGCTGTGGGCACGTTGAAACCAATCAGGAAACCTAACAGCTGGCGTCGGGATGCCCAACGTGATGCCCAGCCTCAAAATGACGTATATGTTCCCCCCATGGATGAACCAGAGGGCTCGGGAGGCCCTGGAAAGAAACCTCGAATGGAGGTCAAGGTTATATTTGGGGGCGGGGAGACAGGGGATTCGAACGCCGAACGGAAAAGGTTCGAGCGAAGTCTCTATGTGGGATCCATCTCCACTCCCCCCTAGAAGAAAGGAAGGACGGACCCGATCACGTTCGGGCCAGCTGATTTACCCAACTCTCCAAGCCCGCACAGGGATGAACTGGTGGTGAGCATGTGCATTGACAATGCTTTGATCCGCCGAGTATTGATCGATACCGGGAGCAGTGTGAATGTATTGTATCTACAATCATTCGAGAAAATGGGTCTACAAAGAAGTCAACTGACCCACCTAAGGACCCCACTGACAAGTTTCACCGGTAATTGCATAGAGGCTGAGGGAACCATCCAATTGATGGTTGAAATTGGGGATGAAACGCACAAAGCATCACTCCGAATGACGTTCGTGGTGGTGGATATAAAATGTGCCCATAATGCTATATTGGGCCGACCGGGATTGGAAGATCTGGAGGCAATAGCCTCTGTCCGCCACTCATGCATCAAATTCCCTACTGACACCGGGGTTGGGGTGGCCAGAACTTATCCGACGACAGCCCAGACATGTTATCGAGAGGCCCTAAAACAGATGAACATTCGTGGGATGCGGGTTAACACAATTGAGGTGGAGACCCATCGAACGGAGTTCGAGGCACACCCAGAACCCGCCACTCTCCTCGAACAAATTGACCTGGATTTCCCCCCGAACCGCAATGTAGCTATCGGGGTAGATCTGGAGACTGACATCCGGGATGGCGTGATTGCCGTCCTAAAAAAGTTTCAGGTGTTGTTCGCCCGGGGGCCAGAAGATATGCCAGGTATTGACCCGGAGATAATATGTCACAAACTTGCCGTTCGGCCTGATGCAAAACCAGTCCAGCAAAAGAAACGATATCAAGCAACCGAACGACGAGAATTCACAAAGCAGGAGGTGGCCACCTTGCTGAAAATAAAACACATCCGTCCAGTAATCCACGTAGAATGGCTATCGAATGTGGTCCTAGCCCCAAAACAATCTACTTGGAGAATGTGCGTGGATTACTCGGATCTGAATAAAGCTTGCCCCATGGACCCTTATCCAGTACTGAGGATCGATCTGCTAGTAAATGAAACTGCCGGATGTGAATTGCTGAGCTTCATGGATGCATTCCGAGGTTACCATCAGATATTCATGCACCCATCTGATGTAGAAAAAACAGCGTTCGTTACTTCGGATGGTGTGTTTTGCTATATTGTCATGCCATTCGGATTAAAGAACGTAATGGCAACTTTTCAAAGGATGATCGGGATGCTGTTCAAAGAAGTGTTGAGGGTCACAATGGAAGCTTATGTTGATGACATCCTGATCAAAAACATGAAAAAGGAAAATCATGTCCTGGACATAGAAAAGGTGTTAGGGATAATGCAGAAAGCAAACATTAGGCTAAATCCCAAAAAATGTGCTTTTGCTGTAAGAGGGGGCAAATTTTTGGGATACATGATGAGCGAGAAGGGGATTGAGCCCAATCCTGAAAAAGTAAAGGCAATTGTGGATATGGAGGCTCCTAGAAATCTCAAAGAAGTGCAGAGATTGACTGGTCGGTTAGCAGCTCTGATTAGATTCTTATCCAAGCTAGCCGATCGAGCTATTCCATTTTTCCAGATCATGAAGAAAGCCAACCCCTTTGAATGGACGGCCGAGTGTCAAACGGCCTTTGAAGATTTCAAGACATAGCTGTCTTCCCCCTGGTCTTGACAAAACCCGAACCGGGGGAACATCTATATATGTACCTTGCTGTAGCTGACCTGGCCGTGAGCACGGTACTGTTGAAAGAAGAAGATGGCGTTCAACGGCCAATCTATTTTGTAAGCAAGGCTTTGAACGGCCCGGAAACCAGGTACACCTTGCTAGAGAAAACAGTGCTGGCCCTGATAGCTGCCATTAAACGTCTGGCATCATATTTCCAGACCCACCCGGTAACTGTGTATACTACTCAACCACTAGCCACCATCTTGAGAAATCCGATGGCAAGTGGACGCATTACCAAGTGGAGCCTCCTGATCGGGCAATATGAGGTGGATTTCAAGCCTCGACCTACTATCAAAGGACAGGCCCTGGCATATTTCATTGCAGAATGTACCGCCCGACCCTTAGAAATGTATGT